GGGGAGGGAATTGGGCTTTTCCCAGCTGTGGTGTAAGGGGGCTCCCCTTCCCTTGGAGCCCCCTGCCCCTCTTTTGTCCCACCTCCAGAGCAGCCCCTCCCAGAGGGAGGGCAAGCAACTCTCCGGAGAGCACCAGAGCACGCCTAGGGTTTAAATGCCTTTGCAGAAGGGGTAGGGTCTGGTTTTATTTGACCCCCCCCTCCCCAACAACTGGAATGATTGGGTTGGGGTGCTGGGGGGAGGGGGGAGGCTTCCCGAATTCTACCACCCGTTTATCCTTCGACCTTCCAAGCCTTAGGGAAGATTCTTTGCTTGACGGAGCAATTGATCTTATTATTTGCGTGTTGGGAAGGTGGATTTTTTTTCCCCCTCCCTTTTCTTTCGGCGCTCCGGGGCGTAAAGTCTCCCGTCTTTTGCTAAAACCCAAGTTGGAAGTTTCATTTTTTTTTTTTAAAAAAAAAGAGAGGCTGAATGAGCTTTTCTCTGAAACCCGGCAGTGCCAGATTTTAAAAATTGCACGTTTTGCAAGGATGTTTGACCGAAATTGCTCCTTTGGATTCGGCCGGGGGAGCCCCTCCGGGGCGTATCGAATCCAGGGCTTGAAAGCCGCGTAAAACCTTATCCATTTCAACCGGGGATCCTAAAATAGAGCAGGGAGAGTCGGAGGAGCGGAAGATGTGGTTGAAGTATTCTGGCTTGATCTTTGCTAAATCTTGGGCTGGCGACTTGCACCGAAAGCGGATGGCTAAGTGAACTGGGAGCGGCAGAGAAAGTTAGCGGACGGCAGAGATTCTCGGTCAATCCCCGTCTCAAAGTTGCTTTTTTTCAAAAACTGGACTGCAGGACTTAACAACAGTTTGTTTAGTGACTGTTCAGAGTTAAGAATGGCGCGGAAAACCGTGACGTACGACCGTTTTTCACATTTGCGACCGTCGTGGCGTTGCGGTGCTCACGTGATCAAAATTCAGGCAATGGGTTTGTGTTTATGACGGTCGTAGTGTCCCGATGTGTGTGTGTGTGTGTCACGTGATCCCCTTTTGCGACCTCCTTACAAGGTCCATGGGGGGGGGAAGCCGGATTGACTGAACCGCCGTGTTCCTAACGCAACAACCGCAGCGAGTCGCTTAATAATTGTGGCGAGGAAAGTCGTCAAATGGGGCAAAATTGACATAATTGAATGCTTTACTTAACAACGGAAATTTTGGGCGGTATGTCGTAAGGTCATCTAATCCAGCCCCCTGCTCAAGCAGGAGACTTTGTGCAGTCCCAGGCAAAGGGTTATCCAATCTCTTCTTAAAAGGCTTCAGGGATGGAGCACCCACAACTTCTGGTGGCAGGCTGTTCCACTGGTTTAATTGTTCTAAATTTCTCCTTAGTTCCAGGTTGCTCCTCTCCTTGATCAGTTTCCATCCGTTGCTTCTTGTCCTGCCTTCAGGTGCTTTGGAGAATAGGGGGACCCCCTCCTCTTCTTTGGGGCAGCCCCTCAAATACTGGAACGCTGCTATCACGTTACCCCTAGTCCTTCTTTTCATTAGAATAGAACAGAACAGAACAGAATAATAGAATAGAATAGAATAGAGCTGGAAGGGACCTTGGAGGTCTTCTAGTCCAGCCCCCTGCTCAAGCAGGAGAACCTACGCCATCTCAGACAAGTGACTGTCTAGCTCTAGCCTCTTCTTAAAAACCTCCAGTGATGGAGCGCCCATGATTTCTGGTGGCAAGCTGTTCCACTGGTTAATTGTCCTCACTGTCAGGAAGTTTCTCCTTAATTCCAGGTTACATTTCTCTCTTATCAAGTTTCCAACCATTGTTTCTTGTTCTGCCCTCTGGTGCTTTGGAGAATAGCTTGACTCCCTCTTCTTTGGGGCAGCCCCTGAGATATTGAAACACTGCTATCCTGTCCCCCCTCGTCCTCTTTAATGACATCCCCAATTCCAGCAACCGTTCCTTATATGTTTTAGCCTCCAGTCCCCTGATCCTCTTTGTTACTCTTTCCAGAGTCTCAACCTCTTTTTTACATCCTGGTGACCACAACTACTACTTTGGGGCAGCCCCTCAAATACTGGAACGCTGCTATCACAATATCCCAGTCCTTTTCTTCCTTAGATTAGACATCCCCAAATTCCCTCCACAATTCATACATGTCCATGGAGATTCTCCTCCGTCATCCAGCTTGTGGCTGTCCCAAAGGTGCTTTTTCAGGAGGCAACGGGACTTTCTTGTTTTTATAATAGTAGTAACAACAGGGTTGGAAGGGACCTTGGAGGTCTTCTAGTCCAGCCCCCTGCTCAGGCAGGAAACCTTGTGCCCTTTTCTTTGACGACGTTTCGATTCTCCTCCAAAAAGCTTCTTCAGCTCTGGCTGGACGGTGGGGAATGGAAGTCAGAGCCGAAGAAGCTTCTTGGAGGAGAAGCGAAACGCCTTCAAAGAAAAATAAGATCCAATTCCTTCCTGGGGGGGAAAAAAAAGCACCTTTGGGAGCTTATCGTACAGTTTAGCCTCCAGACTCTATATCGGGTCTTCAAACTTGGCCCTTTGATGACTTGTGGACTTCACGCTGGCTGAGGGATTCTGGGAGTTGAAGTCCACCAGTCATCAAAGGGTCCCTAGTTCCCTCACGCTGGCTGAGGGATTCTGGGAGTTGGAGTCCACCAGTCATCAAAGGGTCCCTAGTTCCCTCACGCTGGCTGAGGGATTCTGGGAGTTGGAGTCCACCAGTCATCAAAGGGTCATATTCCCTCACGCTGGCTGAGGAATTCTGGGAGTTGAAGTCCACCAGTCATCAAAGGGTCATAGTTCCCTCACGCTGGCTGAGGAATTCTGGGAGTTGAAGTCCACCAGTCATCAAAGGGGCCTAGTTCCCTCACGCTGGCTGAGGGATTCTGGGAGTTGAAGTCCAGCAGTCATCAAAGGGTCATAGTTCCCTCACGCTGGCTGAGGGATTCTGGGAGTTG